CCCCCCCCCCCCCATTTCTCCCTTCCCCGAGCAGGAGCAGCCGAGCAGCCAGGCAAGGAGATATGGCCACTGGGCCTGAGGGTCCCACCCAGTGGGGCGGGGACTTCTCTGGCAGGGACCCATCCCCCCACCCCCAGGCCCAAGGGAAGAGCAGGAGACTGTGGGAGGGGCTGCAGGCACCTGGGGAAGCAGAGGGACGGTAGGTGGGGGTGGGGACAGACCCCCAGGGGGCAGGCAGGAGAGAGAGGGAGGGAAGGAGAAGGGGTTCCGCCTGCCACTGCCTCTCTGTGATGTCTCTGGGGCCCAGGAAACCCTGAAAGTCCGCAATCCCGTCCTCAGCGCCTTCCGGCCCCACTGGCGCCAAGGGCTTCAACCGAGACCCTCCTTGGCCTTCAGCCCCTCACCCGGAGAGAAGCCCTCAGGGACAAGAAAGACACCCTCGCTGCCTTCCCTCCCCCTTGCCTTCCCTCCCAGGTCCCGGTGCCGCCGCAGAGGGAGAACGGAGGACGCGTCTGCGGCCTGCGGCCGCGCACGTCTGCTCTCAGATGTGGCGTCCCCCGCGCACCAGCCTCGGACGCGGGGTCTGCAGTTCAGCCGGTGGCGACCACGTCACGCCACGTCAGGCTGACACGTGGGACAGACCCTCCCCCCCCCCCCAGAACCTTTCCCGGGAAGGGGGCTTTCTGCTTGTGTGGACCTAAGAGAACCCACTGGGCGCCAAGTACGGGTGGGCGGAGGCCCCGCCCTCAGAGCAGACAGACCAGAGAGGCAAGTGCACAGGCCGGGCGCCCGGGACCCACGTCTCCACACACGGGGACACCGGCCACACGGCGGGAGTGCCAACGGGCTGTGCGGCCGAGAGCCACACGCACGGGCCCAGAGAACCAGCACGGGGATCGGGTATGAGGCCTGGAGGCTGGGGTGCAGGGCCACCAACGGGGGACTCCCCGTCAACAGCTCCGCACCACTCGCCGGCGACCCCGGTGACTTCGGGCGGCTTATCCCTGCGTCTCTGGAGAAGGCTTCTCGGCGGAGACTCGCTGTGGGCCGAAGCTGTAACGCAGGCCCCACGTGGAGGCAGGGGGACGGCATTCCGGAACAAAGGGCAGTCTGGGTTGGGCGCCCCCTTGGACAGGGACACGGTGCCCGGGCCGCGTGAGCACGCAGCCCTGAACACAGGCACGGCCTCCCGTCCCTTCCCACCGCCCGCCGCCCCCCCCCCCCCCCCCCGGTCTCCCGCACGGACGGGCAAGTACGTGAGGACGAGGAGACAGCGCAGGCCTGCCTGGGTTCCGTCAATCACATCTCTGTCCACGGGAAAAGGTGTGAACCATCTCAGACACGCCCGTCCTTTAAGATCCTGAGTTTATTTTACAAATCACAGCAAACGCTAGCACACAAATGACTCCAGCCTCAGATGGCAGACGCCCCGCCAAGTGCACATGCGCCCCTCGCCTCGAAGACCTTCCAGTAACCTGGGAGCACTTTCCCTTCGGAGGCTGTGTCACATTTAGGAGCGTGCGCACACGAAACAAAGCCCAATTTTGCACAGGTCGCGTGACGGGGCAGGTGCACCGCTCCCCGAAACACGTGTACTTGGGGGAAAAGTCCCAGACGTGACGCCATGCGTGTCATGAAGACGCACGTTATCCTGGGCGCGAATCCTCCCCTCGGGTGGGTCCTCAGCAGGGCTCCGGTCGAGGAAAACTCACGCACGTGCCTTTTCCGTTTCTGAAAAATCAGAGGCTTTCCTCTTGGTGAATCCTGACGGAGAGGGGAGGGGAGAGGAGAGGAGGGACGAGGGCACCGAGCGCCCCCGGCTCTCAGGTGTCTTCCTTTCTTGGCGGGGGGGGGGGGGAGGGGGAGGCGGGCAGCACATCCAGGCCCATCCGTCCTCCCACCCAGGCTGCTCGGTGGGTCTGGAGGCGGGGGAGGTGCGAGCCCGCAGAGGGGACATGAGCTGGGTGCCCTCCCGGCCCCTCAATTCAAGGTCTGCGTCCATACGCCCCCCAGGGCGAGACCGGGTACCACGAGGGGCTGAGAGCCGGAGGAGGTGCCGCACACGGGGACTGGCAGGCTCACGGCCGGGTGACGGGGGCTGACGGGGGGTGACGGGGGGGTGACGGGAGCATCTCGACCCCGGGAGTGAAACCCGTCTTCCACCACCTGCCAGGACGCTCGCGTCACCGATATGTCAACAGAAAAACCACAGTTCGGAAAACACCGTCTCGTCAGGCGATTCGCGGTTCCTGGGCAATGAACACCCACCGTCATCAACCACCGGCTCCACCGCCACGACGACGCGGAGACGCACGTCCTTCCTCTCCGAGGGCAGCGGCCCCGCCCAGAGGGACAGCTGAGGCCAAGGCCACCCGTGGGCCCCGGGGAGGAGGCCCGCCACAGAGACGGGCTTCAAGCGGCGGCCTCCAAGAACTCCGACGTAAACACGGCTTCCGCGTAGTCCTCACACGTGTCCTCCAGCTCCGCGGCCACGGCGCCCAGAGCCTCGTCCACCAGCTCGTCCGAGAAGCTGGAACACAAACCACGGCTGAGGCGGCCGCCACGCGGCCCCCGCCCCCCCTCCCCCCTCCCAGGCTGCCACGCGGGCTGCTCCCTCCCCTGCTCACCCCTCCTCGTGCGCTCACCCGGAGTGGCTCACGTGCAAACTCGATCCCAAGGTGAGAGGCCCCCGCGGCCAGGACCGGACCGCGAGCGCACCCTCCACACACAGACGCCGACACATCGCGCTCCGGACCCATCGACAGACCGCCCTCAGACCTGCCTCGTGCCCCGCCGGCGCCCGCTCGCAGCTCACCCTGAGCCTGGGAGCCTCCCTCGGCCTGCCTCTCGTGACCTTGCCATTTCCCAAACGGCAAGGCCCTCCTCTGGGGAACGACCCCCAATCTGGGCTCCTCTGAGGTTTCTTCGCAGTCGCTCAGGTCATCTGCCTTTGGAACAAGGCCACAGAGGGGCCGTTGAGTCCCCTCAGTGCGTCCGTCCGTCCGTCTCGCCGCTGACGGCGACTCTTCTCACCTGCGGTCCCCCCTGCGAACCCCGGGAACGGCTGCACGATCGCAGGGGGCATCGAGACTTCTCCTCCCACGTGCCCGAGTCAGCCGGCCGGCCAGCCGCACAACGGCCGCGCTGTGACGCGGAGCCCTCCCCACGCGGTCCTTCCCTCGCTCGCTCCCGTGTGGACGCGGCCCCGCACGCTCGAACCCGGCACTTCCCGAGGCTCAGCGCCCCGCGCCGGCCAGAGCACCTGTCAGGCTGGCTGCGTCCCCTGGACAGCCCCGAGCTCAGACCCCCCTTCCCGGCACGTCCTTCAGGCTCGTGGCCTCAGCCCGAAGGGCCCCAGCAGCCCGGCCGGCAGAAGGGCGCTCGGAGCCGCGTGCTTGGCGCTATTGGAGGCAATTCTGACACACCCGAGCTCCTCCTCCTGAGACGCTGTTCTCTGTCCGTTCGCTCTCCTTCCTTGCCCGCCTCCAATCTCAGGGGGTCTTTCACTTACGTTTCGTCCTGGCCACTAGCCTGGACGTCACACACGCCACGCTTCCCTTACCGGCAGTCCCGGACCTCAGCGCCGCCCCTGACCTCCGGCCAGCCCGACCGCGGACGTTCCAACGGTTTTCCCAGACAAGCTGTGGGCCTCGGAGCAGCGCGGACGCTCCGAGGGGTGCTCGTCCGCACACGCACCCGGGGAGACACGTTCGCTGTCTCCCGCAGACGACGTTCGCTTCCCCGCGCGCTGACCTCGGACACCTCCGTGGCTACCGTGTGGCCCACCTCTCTTCCGGGACCGTTTCTGACCGGCCCGAACCACACCCGTTTACCGTTTCCCACGGCGAACGTGTCCCGGTGAACGTTCTTGGGGGGGCCTCCGCCGGCTTCTCCGGGACCCCGGGCCCCTCCGCGTCGGCCGGCAGCTTCCGGAAGCCTTCCCGCACGCGTGCTTCCCTCTCAACATAGCTTGTGTCCTGAGTTATCCTGAGCGAGCCGAGGGCACGAGCGACCGCTGCATTTACTCTGCCGCGCTTCCTACGTCCGTACGTCACGAACCCGCCCAAACTCCCACAGACACACAAAGGCGCTCTCGTGCGCTCAGACGCCCGAGCTCCCGGCCAGCTCCTTGCTTCCCGCCTTTGCGCCCCATGTGCTCCCGTCCTCCCTCCACCGGGCCAGCCGCTCGCTGTGTGTGCTGAAAAGCTCCCCCCGTGGAACCAGCTTTCCCCTTTTCTCTGGAGGTCCCGAGCTGGAGCTCATCTCCTCCGGTCCGCCCCTCGCTGGTGCCCACGCCCTCCGCTAGCTCAGTCACGGACAGAAACCAGGTTCTTGGACCCTGCGCATCCCGGAACACGCCTTCCTTCAGCCCACAGACGCCTCAGGCGAGCACAGAGTTCGGGGTTCCAATACCTCGTAGCCGTTCCTTCTTCTGACGCGGGAAGGGGCCTGATGAACCCTCTGGAACCTTCTGTGCTCCTCACACGCCTTTCCACGGCGACGCCCTGACGTGCCTTCTGCCGTGTGCGCCACACGCCTCACCCACACACCACGACAGGCCCCGTCCTCACAGCCGGGAGCTCCCGCCGTCAGACGAACGTCTGTGTCCCTGCGAGGTAAGTAAGCCGAAGCCTCGGCCCCGGGGGCGGACGGGCACTCAGGCCCCCAAGGACGGCTGCCGCGGGTCCAGAAAGCAGGTCGCCGACACCCACCGCACGCGGCCCTGCCGCTGAAGCCACGGTCTGTGGCCCACCTCCCGACACCTGAGTTGGAATTGCTGCACAATCCTCTAACGCGTAAGAGCTTTTCTTGCCTTTTTATTCTCCTCCAGAGATGAGGCTTTTTCTTTGAAGCTTTCCAGTGAATTCACTACATTCGTGACGTTTTTAATTGCTGATATTTTTACTCTCTAGAAACCTCTTTTCTCGGGTATCCATTCGTTCCCTGGCATGACCGTTCCCTTCGCTTCTCTGGGATGTGATTCTGGGCACGTGGTGTGGAGGCCGCCGCCTCCTCCTCCTCCTCCTCCTCCTCCTCCTCTTCCTCAGGCTGCACGGGGCAGTGGCCCAGGCCCTGGCGTGGGCTACCCGTCTGGTCACAGCTCTGTGGCGCTTGGGGCGGGGCCTCCGCGCAGGCCTGGCGCCCTCGTCCTTGGTCCCAGCGCTCGGCTCCCTCGTCGGTTCTTTCCCGTTTGCCGTCCTTTATGGTTTTATGCCTTTCACGTGGCCGCCCGGTGACGTGGCGCCAGGCCACGGATTCAGGAAGGAGATAAACACACGGCTCCCACCCGCCCTCTCCCCACAAGTCTCCGCGGCCGCTGGTGAGTCTGCTTCCCCTGAAAGCGTCCCGGCCCGGGCCCCCTCCGGCCAGCACGCTACTGACACCGAGCCCGTGTCACCTGCTCCCTCTCGTCACGGGAGCAGCACGTTTCTTCGGGCGTGAGGAGGGTGGACACGTTACAAGCAAGAGAAGGGCCGAGCTCGCTCCCCTCCCCCGAGAGGCTACCGGACAGAGCCGGCCGTCCTGGCTGCTCCACCAGGGCCCGGTCAGCACGGGCCTGTCCTTGGGAGCGCCTGCCCGAGGAACAAGGCCCAGAGACAACAGAGAGCCGGAACGTTCGATGCACGGTGACCTGAGGGTCAAGGGCACCAGGGGAGACGTGTACAAATCATTCCTTCCACGCTCAGGCGGCGCTGCCCTTCGTCCGGAGAATGACGAACGAAATGCGCCACGAACCACGGGACGGGTCCATCTTCCCTGGCTTGTTGTGGATTCCCCATACGCCGTCAGCCTCACGAGCCCTGGCAGCTTTGGGGACACGGCGCGCCAGTGAACACGAGGACCCGCGGCGGCCTCCCCTCCTCCCCGGAAAGCAAATGAGCGAAGGTCTCCACGCTCCGGACGGCACCGCGTCAAGGGAGGTCTTGGCACCTCAGGGTAAGCCTGAGGGGCCGAACACAAGTGGTCGTCCCCGATCCCACGCAAGAGCCCACCGCGACGGGAGACGGACGCAAAAGTCTCCAAGCAGAGAAACGATGGAAGAGCGGAGGGGAGCCGGCCACGACCTGGGGAGGACAGAAGGCAGGTGGCGGAATCGGAAGGAAGAGGAAGCCGCAGGGTCTGAGGAGAGCGATGCCAGGGAAACGCGAGCTGGCCGTCCCGCCGAAGGGGACCCCTGGCAGGTCCAAGCCCTGCGAACGACGGGGGCGGGCGGAGGCGAGGGGCTGGGAGCCGGTGAGTGTGCGAGTGTGCGGGAAGGCCGGGAAGTGCGCAAAACAATCAGCAGGTGAAAGGGGCACCAACTCCACCAGCCTGAACCTGCCCAAGGAAGCGCAGGCCACAGCTCGGCACCCGCTCAACGGCGGCGGGCCACAGGTGTGCAAGCAGCGACGCCCAGAAGGAATCTCATTTGGGGCTGCATTTAAGAGGAGCGGATTCAGGGGCGCCTGGGGGGGCTCAGTCGGTTGAGCGTCCGACTTGGGCTCAGGTCGTGATCTCGCAGCTCGTGGGTTCGAGCCCCACGTCGGGCTCTGTGCCGACAGCTCGGAGCCTGGAGCCTGCTTCCGATTCTGTGTCTCCCTCTCTCTCTCTGCCCCTCTCCCGCTCGTGCTATGTCTCTCTCTTATAAATAAATAAACCTTAAATAAGTAAACAAATAAAAAAACGAAAATTTGGATTTACGCGTCTTTTGATGAACCATTTGAATACCGGAAAAGCCTCCGTCCTCAAGTACTCCAGCAGCCCCACCCGCGACCTCTGCGCTCCTGACCGTCTCCTGCCTGGTAGCGTTCTGTGTCCCGTCACTGACCTGACGGGACACCGTCTCCCCCACCCAAATAGGCGGCGAGCAGAGGAAGCCCTCCGCCAGCCTCTCTGAGAGCTGAGGCGCGGCACCCGCCCCCCGAGCGGAGGCCGTGATGCTGTACTGACCTCTCGGCCATCAGCCAGGGGTTGAAGGCGCCCACGGCCTCGTGCGCGGTCATGCGGAGATACTGCTCGAAGCGGCTGCAGGAGTCGCGGATGCTGCGTCGCATGCCCGGGGGCACCAGGAGGGCGGTGCGGCCTTCCTGCCGCAGAGACTCTTCCAGAAGGGGCGGAAGGGGAGCCTCCCTCTTCTCAGACTCCTCGCCAGCGTCCACACTTGCATCCAGGGAGCTGAGGGCACGAGTAATAACCGGCGAAATCAGATGGCCCACGAGCAACAGCGTGCCGTTCCTCCCACCCGACGAGCCAGGGCTAGTCTTTCTCTCTCCCCCTGAGCAAAGCCAACACCCCTGCGGCCCCCGACGCCCGCCCCACGCGGGCATCGCTGTCCCGCACGCCACGGGGCTCTGGGGGCAGGTGTGCCACGGGATTCGCACAGCCGGGCGGCGCCGCCCCCCATAAACACTGCCTCGGGCACGGCGCTCGCCGGCCCGTCTTACGGCCTCGCTGCTTCACCGGGCCTCCCTGGAGCTCAGCAAGATTGGGCCCCAGGCCCCGAGAAAGGATTTCCTCGTCTTGAGGGAAGCAACGGACTCAGGCGTCTCACAGCACCGGAGGCCGAAGCAGCCTGGGCGCCACTTACTTGCCATTGCGAGGTCTTTCCAACACGATGCTCGCGCCTGGGTCTTTGCGCGCAGGGCTCTTTGTGGTCCCGACTGGATGAGGAGAGAGAGGCCTTTCACCTACTGCCGGGAGCGTCTGCTCTAGAAGAGAGGCACACAGCGGCCGCAGATAAACACCAGCCCACGGGCCCTAGAGCCGCCCCAGCGGCCGGCCCGTGAGGACGCCGCTCGCACCTCTACCAGCCTGGCGGCCGGCAGCGCAAACACGCTTGTTTTCAAGGAAAAGGTGAATTTAAAGGCACGACGAGGAATCAGTTTTAAGAAACCACGGGCTCCTGGGGCGCCTGGCTGGCTCAGTCAGTCAAACGTCCGACTCTTGATTTCAGCTCAGATCGTGATCTCAAGGTTCGTGAGTTCGAGCCCTGGGTGGGGCTCTGTGCTGTTGGCTCAGAGGCTGCTTGGGATTCTCCCTCTCCCTCTCTCTGCCCCTCCCCACCCCCTGTCAAAATAAGTAAACGTTAAAAAAAAAAAAAAAAAGAAAAGAAAAGAAAGGAAACCATGAGCTCTTCTGGAAGCATCCGTGACCTCTGAGGACACTCCGGGAAATGGTGGGTGCCAGGCTCTGCGGGCGCTGATTAGGTCCGGCCACCTGTTCGAGGAGTCTGAAGGGGTTGGGGTCGTTTTTTAACCTTTAAAGGGTTTCATTATGGGTGAGGGAAAAAAGCAGTTACATCTCAACCCTGACTCGTCCCCGGGATGAGTCTTTCGCTGGCAGAAACCTGCACGACGACGGTGAGCGTGCGAGCCCAACTGCACTGCGGGCTTGGCGGCTCCCGTGAGCGGTGGGTTATTTATAAACTCAAACGAATCAAGTGCACTCCAGGCACAGAAGAGAACGTGTCCTCAGGCAAGGAGCGTCCGTGAGTCCAACCACTTCCCCCGATCCACACGAATGTGCCTGCGATTCCCACATCAGTCGGTTTCTGTAAACATACGACTAAAAACGGTTTTCGATTTTTCACACACCGAAGAGAGAAGATACGGGAGTAGACACCGCACTCTGCAAAAGCCAGCTCTAAATTTGGTTTTGTGGTGCAACTGAGCACAGCGCCAGACTGACCAGAAACAGGATTCTCACTGGGATGCAAGCATCCAGACCCTGATCTCGGCTCTCAGGGTCCCACAGAGCACACTGGAAGCCATGCGGTCGTCAACGTGACTGGTGATTTAAAGTGTCCCCGAGAAAGGAACACGGAGCCCTTGATAAGCCGGGCTTCTGCACGAGGCAGTCCCACTTCGGGGCCAGGGGCCCAACCACGGGGCGACCCCTGCCCCTCCTGTGCCTCTTCTGCTTCCACACGGCGGACTCGCTAATAAGCGGTGGCTGGGAGGTCCCCCTGCGAGGCCCGCGCTAGGCGTGCGTGGCAGGACGCACAGGGAGGAGGATAAACTCTGGCCCCAAGAATCCGCGGCTCAGCCGGAAGAGGAGATCGGCTCGCAGGTGAGGGAGCACAGGTGGGGTCGCATGACCCCCACTTCCCGAGCGTCCCCTGTCCCCTGCCCTGGGACGGTGACGGGGGTTTGGAGGGCAGGCACTGCCACAAGCAGAGAGCCGAGCCTGGACAGTCACAGACAACGCAAAAGGACCAAGTCAGCACCATGTTGGGACAGCTCGTCTTTCTGCCAAAACTCGACATGCCACACGCTCGGTCCAGGCTGACGCCCCTGGGCTCCCGTTTCGGAAGCTGCAGGGACTCGGCTCGGCGGCGAGCCTCCCACCCCGACAGGCGGCGTTCGCTGCCCGTGCGACAGCGCTTCCCCGCATCCAAGAGGGGGACAGCCACTGCTACAAAACGCGCGTAAGCATGATTCTCAGAGGTGAACAGAAGAGCGGACGCCTTCCCAGCGACCGGCACGAGAACAAAGGGACCTTCCCCTCTGCACACGTCACAGGCACTTTGCTTCAGGGCAGACCGCCGACCTACACACACGAGCTAAAACCGCACGGCTTCTAGAAGGAAACGAGGCTCTCTTCTCAACTTGGGAACAGGCAAAGATTTCCTAGATCAGAAACGGAAAATCTATACGAGAAAAAACCGATGTTAGGCTTTTCAAAATTAAAGATATCTGCCTATAAAGAAATACGTTTGAGAAAATACACAGGTGAGCAAAACACAGAAGATGTCTGCAACGTCTGTGGAGACTCGTGGCTGCCGGGGAAGGGAAAGCAAGACAAAACAATTTTTAAACGCACAAAACATCTGGACACCTCGCAAAAGAAGATATACCAGTAGCTAATACCAATAGGAATCACTATTCGTCAAGGATCCGTGAAATTGAAGCCACAATGGGACATCAGCATGTGTCCGTTAGAGCGGCTACAATTAAAGACCGCAAACATGCAACACAGGACGGCGCCTCAGGGAAAGACTTGGCAGTTTTTTACAAAGTTAAACACATACCCAGCCCCATCACCTGGCCAGTCCGCTCATGTGTTTATCCAAGACAAGTAAAAACTTACGTGAGCACAAACTATCCATAAATATACTCGCGGTACATGGGATCCCCCGTGGACAAGAGCACACGAGAGCATGTCCACAGGGCACCATCGTGGACAAGAGCATGCACACACACGGGACCCCCCCCCCACCCCTCCCGTGGACAAGAGCGCACACACACACAGCATCCCCTGTTTGTGAAAATTCTAGAACTGACAACCTAGCCTGCAGTGCAAACAACACACTGGGTCCCGGGGTGGGGGTGCCGACTGGAGAGGAGCACGGGGACCCTTCCAAGGTGACACGGTGGCCCGAATTCTGACAGGAGTTTGGGTAACAAGGGCATATCCATTTGTCAAAACCCATCCAATGACACAACTAAGATCTGTGCTTTTTATTACACGTAAATTTTATCTCAAAAGGAAAAAAGTCTGTAAAGACACACGAAATCCTAGCTGCTGAGACACACGTTGCAACATTCAGGACCGTGCCTGCCGGTGCCCGGAACTTTCTCTGGAACGTGCATCCAAAAACGGGACGGACGGACGGACGAAGAGCAGACACACCATAAAACGAATGGAGGCTAGAAGGTGGCAGGTATGCGCGTGTCCACTGCCAAGGCTTTTCAACTTTCCTGCGTGTTTGAAATTGTTCAGAACACAATGTGGGGGGGACACTCACCACTCTTCCCTTCCTGCATCCACAGACGGGGATCAGCATATACAATTTCATTGTATCTTCGGCGAACCATCTCCTGGTATTTCTTCAAAAGAAAAAAAAAAGTTTAAGTTACGAGAAAAGATTAGTTTCATTACAAAGCAGGTGTCGTGGTTCAGCAGGCCCCACTGATACACACACGGCCAGAAATGGGCACGTGCCTGGCCAGGAAGCGAGTCAAGTTCACGAGGCAAAGTCTAAAAGGAAATGAAGCAGTTAACCTGACGGATGGAGACCAGCACCGTCCGCGAGAACTCACTGGCAAGAGGGAGGCGTTCCGCCTGCCGCTAACTCCTGAGCCCCCAAAACCCGGGCCGTGTGCGTCAATAGTCTTCCCTGATGTACAGTTAGGTCCACGCGAGTCTACAGACGGCCACGCTGGACACGGCAGGTCCCACGTTACCCCCGAGAAGGGAAGTCGGTTCCGTGATCACTAAGTTTCTACTTAGGGGCAAATCCAGGATGCAGGCAGGAGGCAATGCTGCTGTGGGGGTCCCGAGCCCCCAGGGGACTGTACCGGCCACGGCCACACCACTCCCAGCCTCGCTGTGGGTCAGCGCCCTGCTCTGGACCGTCCAGGGCCTGGGCTGGCTGATGTCTGGGGCTAAAACCCCAAGAGAAAAGAGTCCCAAAGCGGAGCCCCAGATGCTAAGCAAGGAAGGATGGTGTGATGTGTGGGGAGACCACGCTCGGGGCCGGAGGAGTCGAGGGGCGCAGACTCTGGTCCCTGTGGTTCTCCAGCTGTCCGTCGGGGGCACCACACGTCACTTCCTGAGTTCTGTGTCGGGAGGGCACTGACACTTCAACTCCATTGTGTCCGAATCACCTGACCCCAGGCCCTACACTTGGCTGCAGGTGAGCTGGGGGGCGGCCCCTGACCTCACCTCCATCTCCTCCATGCGCAGCATCATAGTGTCCAGAAATGGGCTGTCCCTGCCGCCTGCCCCGGGGGCCCGGGCTTGCGACGCCAAGACGTCACAGCGGAGCGCGGTGCCTTCCAGACAGTCGCCCTGCTGGCGGAGGCTGCCGGGCCCCCCGTCCGCGGCCACAGCCTACGAAGCAAAGGAGGGGCAGAGAGGCGATGAGAACCAGTGGGCCGCAGGGAAGCAGCCCCGCAGCGTGTCCACGCCGCCACCCCCGCTCCGCCCCTCCCGTGGCCACGCGCCCGAAGCCGTTGCGTCCACACAGTCTCCGCCACCGCCATTCAGACGGCCGCACTAGCCAATCACCGTGCTCGCCGTCGATGACAAGGCTCGGGGTCGCCGCCCCTGCCGGTCGGGAAACGAACGCCTTCCCTGCGCTACACCCAGACACGGCCGGTGTCTCGCGTGTCCTGTCCCGGAACACGGACCTACACGGATCTATTCCCTTCTGGTTCAACGCTCCCGTGACAGGTTCGCGACACCACGAGGGCCCTCATCCTGCGCCACGGGCCTGGGAGAGCTTGCCTGGCGCCTCCCGCCCTGCGTGCGCGCCCCAGTAGGCGGAGCGCCGCTGCGTACGTGCCCTTGACTCTCAAGTGCGGCTGGAACATAGAAGGTCTGCCGGGAGTGACAGCGTTGGGCCCTGGACGGGACAGTTTCGGGGCTGCGGACCCTGGCTCGACCCACAGGATGCGTATGCACCGTGGTCGAGCCCCCTGCGCCTCCCTCTCACCCTCGTCCGCCCTGCGGAAACACACGTCCGGCCTCAGAGCTAGCAGGGTGGAGCGCGCACGTGTGCCCGGGGACATGCAGGGAACAGTTCCCGCCAGGGAATCTGAAAACCTTCCAACAGATCACAGGGGGAAATGTATCAACGGCCAATAATGACAGAAGGAAATGCCCAACCTTAAAGTTATGTACAATCAGGTGAGTAATCAATACAATAAAATTACAAAAACTCTAGAGAAAACGAACCCAGGAACTCAGGTCTCCTTAATGGAGACGCGTTTGCACATGTAGCCCTTCTCCTCTGTAAGGACCGTGAATCAAGGATACGGTGCGGGGGCACCCGGGTGGCTCGTCAGACTCTTGATTTGAGTTCAGGTCTTGATCTCACGGTTCGTGACTTTGAGCCTCGCGTCGGGCTCCGTGTCTCCCTCTTTGTCTCTCCCCCTTCCCTGCTCATGCTGTCTCTCTCAAAAATAAATATCAAAACAAAAATTAAGAAAAAGAAAAAAGAGGGGCGCCTGGGTGGCGCAGTCGGTTTAGCGTCCGACTTCAGCCAGGTCACGATCTCGCGGTCCGTGAGTTCGAGCCCCGCGTCGGGCTCTGGGCTGATGGCTCAGAGCCTGGAGCCTGTTTCCGATTCTGTGTCTCCCTCTCTCTCTGCCCCTCCCCCGTTCATGCTCTGCCTCTCTCTGTCCCAAAAAAATAAATAAACGTTGAAAAAAAAAATTAAAAAAAAAAAAAAAAGAAAAAAGAAAAAAAGATATACCGCGTGCCCTTAAAAATGATAAGGATGCTGACTGTGCCCTGATGTGGAGGCATCGCCCCAAGGTGAAAAAGCCAGCTACAGAACAGCATACAGTGCTCGTTAGCTGGGTGGTCTAACCTCTTACACTTCTGCCAAAGCGTGTGAATCTTTAGGCAAGTGCATTTCAACTTCTGATTGGGAAACAAAAAGCAAAGAACAACTTGTGCCTTCTGGAAAGACCCACTCCAGGCGCTCAGCGGGTGACCAGAGCGGCAGCAGACGGACACACGACGCCAACGCCTCCGCGAGCTCTTTCCTGGCGTCGGAGGTGGTCGCGTCCACCAGGAAACCCGTCGGGGTTGTATCTCACCGGCGGGGTGCCACCGGTGAAGGTCTTCTCCGCTCTAGCATGGGCCTTCCGACGGTTCGTGTCGCGGGCCCCACGGGTTCTCTACGGCTTGACACGGAAAACGAGACTTCCTACAGCGTCGTGCCAGCTTCGAGGAGGTTTCCTGCGCGTTCTGCCCCGTCATTTACACACACAGACTCCCGGGTGCCGCGGGGGGCGGTCTGCACGGCGCCGACGTCTAACCCCGAGTACAACTACTCCGCGTGGCTCTAACGGCCACGTCGCACCCACAGAGCAATTCTCAAGCGCCAGGCCGGCCCGCTTGCCACGCGCGGACTCGCCGACAGCGCGGGGGGGTCACTGGGGACACCTCCCGGGTCAGGCGTCCTGCCGGGAAGGGAGCGGCACGTGGAGGCCACGCTGCACGAGGCACAGCCGGTGGGCACAAGCTAAACGCAGGCCTTCCTCTTCCGCTCGGCGCAGCCTCACCTCACACGCGCCTCTGTCACCAAACGCCGGGGCGGTAAAACGACAGTTGTGAAGATCGGGCGGTGGCGCGGCAGGGAGGCCCCGGCCCGGCCCCCAGAGCACACCTGCCGTGCCCTCGTCAGCCCCGAGCACGCGCAGCAGGAGCGCGGCGGGAGCCGCCAGCCAGCGCCCAGGCCCACACAGACTCGGCAGACAGGCCGGCGGTGCCCACCTGACGGCCCGAGCCCAGGCAGGGCAGGAACGGTCCCACGAACGCGGGACGCAAGTCCCCCGGAGGACCGCGCGACCGCAAGACGTGCTTCTGTCTGTTCGCACGGTACCGCCTTCTCCCCGGCCGGCTCTTCCCCGAGCTAGGCCAGACCCCGGTCGTTATCAGGCGCTCTACACGCGCTCGCCTGACAGTGCGCACCGGGCCCTGCACACAGAGACCGCGCCACGCCCGAGCAGAGCTGGGCTGGATGGGGGGGCAAGAGGCGGCCAGCGCCCGGCCGTGGCGTGTCCTCCGGGAGAGGACAGGGCCACGGACAGAACCCCGTGGCTGCAGAGGTTGCCGTGAGCACCAGGGCGCCTGACGAGTCAGAGGAAGACCGACGTCCTGAGTAGGATCTGCCAGTGCGGTGACATCCCCACCGTGGCCACACCGGTGCACGCACCTCGTCCGTAGGCCGGGCTGTCGCCGTGTCCGCCGGCGGCCGGTCCTTCGGCACCTCTGCTTCCAGTGAAGAGTTGACTCTCTGTTAAGACAGACAGGCACGTTTGTGATTACACAAGTCTGCGGCCCGTGTGCGTACAGATGAACCGTGACAGGAACCTCTGCGTGGACCTGCTCATCAGCTTCGGCTACATCAGGCTCCCCAGCAACTCCAGGCACCGTGTCCTCATGAAAATAAACACCACGTGTGGATCCTGGGCTTCTGTCCCTTTTTTTCCCCTCAACTTTGGAAACACGTCTCCGCTCCAGTCTCCCCAACGATGAAACGGAGAGACGGGGCGACAGGGTCACTAAGAGCACTCCCAGTCCTGCACCCCGGAGACTTCCAGGGCTCCCAGCCCCGCACCCCGGAGATTTCTGGGGACGCCAATAATAATTACACACTTCTTAAAGCAGAGGCACAGAACTCCGGGGCCTGTTCAGGGACCCAGAACATCATTCATTCTGTGTAAGATCACGACAGTGTCCGTGGGCTCGTCTGTTCACACGGATGGCACCGTTTCCACGGCCGGCAGACGTGAGGGGCCACCTCCTCCTCAGGAGAGGGCAGCGTGTGCACAGACGCGGTCCCAACATCCCCTCCCTCGGGAACCAGCCAATCATTCCAAAGCACTGAGGCGAGAGTTCCCAGGACTTCTGCGGAAGCAGGTAACCGAACACCAGAGTCATCAACAGATCTATTTGATTAGGAATGCAAAGTGTCGCCCAAACTCGTTCCCCAAACTAGGGGACTTTCTCAAAGGTGGGACTTTGTCTGTCTTCCCCTGGTCTGTCCCTCACAGACACCAAAGACCCATCCGTGGCGGCAGTGGATTGCACACACCCGCACGGGCCTGCAGGTCTGCGCGGCACCGCGGCCCCCAGCCGCCTCCGAAGCGACCCCCCGCTATTCCAGCACTTCCAAGCATGAGGAAACAGACGCGCTGGATTACCTGGGCCTTGACCAGGAGAGGCTTCAGACGCTCCAGAACCGCCTTCTCTACCTTGTCTGCTAACTGGGCAGCAGAGTCACTGGGTCGAGACAAAATCAAAACTTGAAATCAAAAGCAGAAGATACCCTATTTTGTGCATTTACGTACTACCCCGGGTGGAGGAAATGAAACGATTATAAAATCAAAGTGCTTCTCCAATCGTGAAGGCCACGCAAAGTCCCCGGGGGCCCCTGTAAAATGCAGACCCGCAGTCGGCTGGCGGTGTGAGGCCCGAGACTGCGTTTCCAACAAGCCCCCAGGTGGCGCGACGCGGCTGGTCCTGGACCCGCCCTGAGGACACTTCTTCACCTCTGAAGACGTACGTTGGGCTCTCGGTACGTTTTAAAAAGTAACAGATGCCTTTAAACAACCGAAGAGGACAGAACACGGAAGAAATCAAGCTAGTCCTGCTCGGTCTCCAAACCCCACAATCGCGGAGTCAGACCTAAGCCCCCAGAGACAAGGAGAAGATGGAAAACAGGACAGAAGTGATGAGGAACCGAGTGGAGCCGGGAAAGCCGAGAGCACGCAAACCCCCGTGCGCCCCGCTGACAGGATAGGCACGGGGGGTGCAGGGCTGGCAGGACAGGCACGGGGGGGCCTGCGGGGCTGCGAGGTGAGTCCAGGATGGCTGAGAGGCAGGACCCGGGGGCCCTTCCCTGCCCGGCACAACTCACACCTGCCCGGTTCTGCCTCAGGACGTCCGGGGGCCCCTCCTCTGCACGAGCAGCCGCCAAACAGGGTGTAGGGGCAGGTGCCCTCCCGGAGAGAGGGGGCCCCGCAGGCCGGCTGGGCGCTCCGGGGACACCAGGTCTCGCCCTCCGGGGTCTTCTCTGCACACGCTCATCTCTGACCCGCCCTCAGGAAAGGCCCGAAGACCGACATGAGGGTCCCTGGCGAGCAGTCCGCCGACGCGCCCCACGGAGTAGAGCTCGGCCGGGACGGCACCACAAGGGCAGGTCTCCGCGAGGAAACCAGCACACTGAGCGGCGCCTCATCTCACACGGGAACTCGGTCAGGATGGACGGCGGACAGGAAAATACGGCTCAGACTGCAGAGCGGTTGGAAGAAGACGCAAACGAACATCTCAGGGCCCTAGCGTTGGAGGGGACCCCTGAGACCAGACACAGAACGAGCTTAGGTGAAAAATAAAAAAGTGGGAGACTGGTCTTATCAAACCTTGACACTTCTTCCTCAACAAGATACCGCTAGGAAGCACACTCGCCACCGCGCCCCAGCTGCCTGACTCACCCCTGACCTTGCCCCTGACCTCCTGGGACACAGGCCCGGACCCACCGTCTTACACCAGCAGCTCTAACCCTGGTCTGCGCTCGCTTCTCAGATCTCAGGACAGCACAGCGTCCGTCAGGGATACATCCGTAGGGACAGACATCCGGGTGGAGGTGATGAAAGGTGACGGGGTGAACAGGGGTCGGGACGGCATTCGCTCTGGGGAGGAGGGGGTGGCCGAGGAGGGCGCGTGGGGACAGTCCGTGACGGCCTGTTCATGGCTGGAGCCGCTGTCCACGCACATTTACCACGTGTGACCGCTCGAGGGACAAGCGGGCACAGTGGGCTGCAGTCTGGCCATCCGGCTGGGAGATGGTGGGTAGGAGTCCTAACGCCCTGCCCCGCCGGAGACAGTCCCATCACAGAGGCTTCGTAGGGACGTACGGCCGCAGGGCCCAAGAGCGTCGCAGGAGAATGAGCCCCTTCCAACCCTAAGGTCCCATGACTTCACTACCGATGGGGCCTCTTTCGAGCGGGAGGGACGAGCGTCCGTCCTGATGGGTGGCAGGATGCACTGTCCCAAGAGAACCCCACTCGTCTGACCTCGGGGCGAAGTGCCGTCCGTCACGGCAGCAGAGTACCAACCTCCTCTACAGACCTCAAGAGCCCGCTCGGGCGACTTGTCTGCGCAGGGTGGACCCTGGAACGCCGTGTCTGTGCACTCAGCCGTGTGAGCTGGACACACGCATCAACCTCCTCTCGCTGAGAGCGGGGTCCCCTGGGCCAGACAGACGCAGGCCAGCCCCTCAGGCGGCTCCCCTAAACTGCCACCTTTGCTCAGTATCAAACTCCACACGAGACAGATACTTCCGAGCAAAAACACCACGTAAGGACACGCGGGCAGGCCCACGCGGTCCGGGGCGCAGGCACGCAGACCGGCCAGGGCAGGCGAGCGCTCACCGCTCCTCAGGCGCGAACGCCGCCCGTTGCTGCGGTCTGGGGTTCAGTCCCGCCCGCGGTCGTCCCACTAGAGCCCACGTGGAGCCGAGCGAGCCCAGCGGACGGGGCGGAAGGCCACCCGACGGTCCCCGGCCCGGGGGGCTTCTCAGGAGCAGACAGCCCGTCGGCACATCCACACGGGAAGCGTGAGCATCCCAACGGCCGCGGGAGGGGGCGGGCCGGACCGTGGCTTTCCGCACCGGAGGCCGGCTCACCTCTGCCTGTGCGCGCCGTCCGCGCCCGCGGCTTTCACCTTCTCCAGCTCCTTCAGTGTTTTGTGAGCTTCAGCGTCGAGCCAGGCGAGTCTGGAGAACGGCAAACAGAGTGAGACCCACCCGCCCGGACCTGCAGGCCGCCGTCGCCACGGACAGGCACCCTGCGGGTGACACCGCTGCCTGCAGAGAGCTCCCCGCCCGGCGCTCTGCGCAGCGACACTAACACGCGGAGGCCCTCCGGTCCGTGGGGACGGCGCCCCGGACGGCCCACAGCTATCCTCAAGAAACTGAGCCCTCGCCGTGCTTAGGATTTCCTGTCCGACCACCAAGTGACCCTGCTGCTGTGTCTTCCAGTTCGGACAGAGAGGCCCCCCCCCCCCCCACCGCCCTCCGGAGGGCACGGTCATAGCCGAGTCACATGAAACCAGAAAGGCAGAACAGACCCCGAACAGATTCGGGGGACGGGGGGCGGAAGGGCTTCAAACCTGCCAGTCTGGGTACGTGAACAGCATCCAAGTGCTTAATGGCCCACATTCATTTTTGCTTTCCCATAACACAGGGGCGATCTCGGCCACGCAAACAGAGCCCTGTCGTCACTGAGCCCCTGCAGGATGTTCTCACCTCACCCCCGACTCAAGTCCATCCCCGGGTCCACGAAGCCCAGGCCTCTGCAGCAGGGAGCGGCCGGCCCCCTCCAGCCCTCACCCTCCCGTTCTGCCTCAGACCACAGACATGCCCATCCGTGACTGCACATCACGGGGCTGGGATCGTTTTGCCCCGTTTCTAGAAGTGTTCACAGAGTGCACCGCTGTACCACAGACAGAACAGGAACTGGTGGACCACTGATGCACACACAATGTTTGAGCGAACGAAAGAAGAAGGATTGAGGGGCGCCTGGGGGGGGCTCAGTCGGTCGAGCGTCTGACCTCGGCTCAGGTCATGATCTCACGTCTGTGAGTTCGAGCCCCGCCACGGGCTCTGCGCTGACAGCTCGGAGCCCGGAGCCTGCTTCGGATTCCGTGTCTCTCTCTCTGCCTCTCCCCCCGCTCACAGTCTCTCTCTCAAGATAAAGACGTGAAAAAAAATTATTAAAAGAAAATAAGGGGTGAAAGGGAGGGTCGCTGTCTACCCTCTACACTTGGACAGGAAAGTCGGGGGTTACGCGTTCTATAACCGGCTTTGCGCACGTGCGCGCGCGCGCGCACACACACACACGAAAGAAGAGTTCACTCAAAGATTTGGAAAACAGCGGCACAAACCTCATGGCTTCGTGCGCAACAGCACCTGTCAACGCGCTGGCCTCCTGAGCCTCTTCCTGCTGGACAGACCGCTCTCTGGCGGCATCTCTGGGGCCGGGCCTCACCTTCAGCCAGGCGGCACTACAAAACACGGAGAGTCACGCCCTGGGGACCCCTCCCGGGACAGCCTGCCCCGAGGACACGGATGCAAGCAGGAGCCCGGGCTGGAGGAGGAGGGAGCCGCCCCAGGATCCAGGCTCAGTGCCCACGGAGATGCTTTCCTCCGCCCCCCACACGCCACCGCGTGTCGAGTGGAAGAGAGCTAGGGGTGAGCGTCAACAAAGCCCCGCTAGAACCCAGATTTAACGTGACCCAATTACTTTCCACAGTGCAGAGCGGCCCTCTCCCGCGGGCCCGACCCAGCACCATGACCCACCGCCTTCCCCGCGCTCCGCACACACCCAGGTCTCTCTGGTCTGCGGCATAAACTTCCACCGACTGACGTTTTTTTGAGCTTCCACGTGAATTCACGGCTTTGTGCCAGGACACACACAAAAGTACGGAACTTCGAGCAGAGGGATAAATGCAGCAAAGCCCGCAGTGACATCAGGACGCCTGACTTGAGACCCCGCTCTACTACAGAGAGCACCGGACCCTCTCCGTGCTGCTGTGTCAACTTGAAAACGAGGGCGTATGGGCACGTGTGTCATTCACATGACACCGCAGGAGTCCCCAGGTGGGCCCATCCGCCAGGCTTTTCCCCGTCACCTGCCGGCCTCCAGAAGGGTGGGCCCTCCTCCCCACATCCCTGCTCCACCACGCTTCCAGCAACTTCCGTCCCACGGAAAACAAACGCCGCTCTGTCCCGATCGATAGTCTCCCTCGGAGACTACTTCCACCTGACCGGACCCCGCTGCCCGGGAGGGCCCGCCTCCCCCCAGCCCTGCGATGGCGCCTCGTCCCTGAGTGCAGTGGATGAGGGGACGGCGGTAACGTCCATATTACCCTCACGTCCCCTGCAGTCAGTGAGATCCGTACAGTTTTATAAGTCAGCATCTTGTCTTAGAGTCAGAATTATTTCTAAACATTCACTCATTCAGCAAAGATTTAGTGACAGCCCCCCAAGGACCGTGAGGGGTCAGGCCCCGCGCCAGCTGTGGGAGGCGCACGGCTCCTGGCCTCAGGTCACGGAATCCACTGCGTGGAGACAGGTGGGGGCGCGCCTGCGACCCCCACACGGGACCACACGCCCACGGCGGGTCGGGGCGGCCCGCTCACCCACAGCCACGGAGGAGAGAGGAACCGTCATCCTCTAGACACAAAGCGCTCACGTGTTTCTCACCCAGCTAAGCTTTTCTTCCTCACGGGAACCACGGCGGCCGCTTCACCAGCTCTACGCGCTAGGTCACCCTTGACCCGAGGAGGGAGAGCGTGATCACGTACCATTTGGGGGACGCTGGCGGGGACGTGGGGTTTGGAGGCACCCAGGGGGCCCTGAGGTCCCTCACTGGCTGCTGGCTCCTTTTCAGCCTGGATGACACGGTCGTGCGCTGCAGTCTGCTTTTGCTGCGGCCTTGGGGCGGCTGACGGTCCTCAGCTCTGAGGGGTCCCTGTAGGAGAGAAACATGAACCCTGAAGCCAAACGCGTATCCAAGAGGCTCGTTTTAACCTCTGGCTAACGGGAGCTTCGGGCGTCCCCACGCTGCACCAGACCCTTGACTGGAAAGCGCTGTGGCAAATTTGGGGGCGGGTGCATGTCACACTGAACCCCCCAGGTGGGGGCGGGGGTTTACAGGTGGAGCCCCTGGATTTGCCACCTTTTAATATGTGTGTGTGTGTGTGTGTGTGTGTGTGTAACATACACGTATGTGTGCGTATATGTGCATGTGTGTGCGTGTACAGATGGAGTCCCTGGATTTGCCGCCTTTGTGTGTGCGTGCATGTATGTATAGCATACGTGTGTGTACATACGTGTTGCACGTGCATAATATGCATGCGTGTGTGTGCGTGTACATGTGTGTGTCAGTCTAATATACACGCACGTATATGTATGCCGTATAATAAACATACGTATCGTGTGTGTATAACGTACATGTGTGTATTACGTGTGCGTGATATACACGTGAGTTATGTGTGTGCGTATGTGTACAATATACACGTGTGTATGTGTACATATATGTGTGTGCGTATATATATTTATGTTTACGTTTTTCTCTAATTAAACAAACACAAAGAAGAGATCATCCGCGTGGTATTCTTGGCGAAGACCCTTAACCTCTGAGTCTTAGGTGTCTCATCCATAAAATGGGAGCTGCTTCCCCGTGTTTCCAGGAGGCTGGACGGGCCGCTGTAGAAGCAGCAGAAGGCGCTCTCCAGGCTAAAGCGCTGGCTGCCCTCGGACAGGCTGGGTCCTGACCTCCCAGCGACTGCCCTCCCCGCCCCAGGACTGTGTGGAAAGGAGCGAGGCCTGACCCAAGCCAGGGTCTATCAGTCACCGTGCCTGGGGCCACCTGACCACACGCAGGGCAGGGTGGCTGGGGAAGCCCGCGCTCGCCCATCCAGTGGCTAGGCGGGAAGGCGGTCTTCCGGCTGGTTCGGCCACACTGTAAACAGAAGCTTAAAACGTAACGTAGCCTCAAGCCAGCTGGCTCCCAAAGACCTGCTGGAAAGCACTGACCCTTGGATGCCTTTTCATACCGCGGGTTAGTATTTATCGATATTTATCTTCAGCAGGGACCAAATCTCAAGCCCCCCCCCAATTTCACACTTCCAAGGCAGAAGCAGAAAAAACCGAATGTTAAAGTAGCCTGCCCAGTCAAGACCTCGGAATCAAATTCGTTCCGACCTCTCCAAACCAGGACGAGAGAGAACGTCTGGTGATCACAGCAACGTTAAAAACTGTTATCTTTTTTTTTTTTTTTTTTAAATAAGGGGAAAAACTATTGGGAGCCGAGCAAAGTCAGCTCAGCCCGGATGGTGGGCTCAGGGGCTCGGGCGGCACCGCCGACCAGCCCGTGACCGTGGCCGCGCAGCCAAGGGAGGGAGCGTCCCTACCTGCGGCGGCCCCACCGGTGCCTCCTCCTTCCTGGGCGGTATGCTCCCCGCCCCGGGCCTCCAGGCCGCTGCTCCCGCTCTCGCCACGGCCACGGGCTCTGCCGTGAGGCTCGCGCTGTGGTCCGGAGCAGGAGGGGCTCCTTCCGGACGGATGTCCGCGCCCCTCACACCAAGCCCGTTCCCGTTCGCGGACCGCTGGGTCGCTGCAGGTGCTGCCCCAGGCTGACACTTATCTGCAGGGACAATTCAGAAGGACAAACGGACGTGCTACTCAAGTTGGTGACAAGCGAGCGTCCCCTCAGACGAACTCCAGACCTCCAGCCCGGAAACACAGAGGCGTTCTGCTGCCAAGATCACTCCTCGCCCTTGACTCCCAAGCGGACCCACACGGGGAGACACCGAGGCTCACCTCCCACGTGTGCTCCTTCCTGTGACTATAATAATGCCGGCTCCTGACCGACCCCTTCTTTGTCCTCGATCACCCCACCTGGCTACCAAGTGTGGTTTTGCTGAAATGTAAATATTTAACTGTCACCTCTCAAAACTTTCACTGGCTCCTAATCTGACACAGAATCAAGTCTGAACTCCACATGACATTCAACTTGTGAGGAGAAAAGAAATAAAACCATCTACATTCAGGGCGCCTGGGAGGGTCAGTTGGTTAAGCATCCAACTCTCGATTTTGGCTCAGGTCATGACCTCACAGTTTGGGAGTTCGAGCCCCAGGCTGTCAGCGCAGAGCCTCCTTGGGATTCTCTCTTTCCCTCTCTTTCTGCCCCTCCCCTGCTCACTCTCTTTTTCTAAATAAATGAATACATACGTACGTAAATCATACGCACATACATACATACGTACGTACATAAGTTTCACTTAAATTTAAAAAGAGGGGAGGGCACCTGGCTGGCTCAGTCGGTGGAGCATGCAACTCTTGATCTCAGAGTCTTGAGTTCAAGCCCCACATTGGTAGTGGAACTTACTTAAAATTAAAAAATTTACGGGGCGACTGGGTGGCTCAGTCGGTTAAGCAACCAACTCTTGATTTCAGCTCAGGTCACCATTTCACAGTTTGTACCTCCCTCCAATGGGGGACCCACCTCCACGGAGGACCCTCCCTCCAACGGGGCACCCTCCACAATGGGGGATCCTCCTCCATGGGGGACCCTCCTCCATGGGGACCCTCCCTCCAATGGAGCACCCTCCACAATGGAGGACCCTCCTCCACAGGGGACCCTCCTCCACGGGAGAG